CCCCTGGCTCCCAGTATCCTGTGTGCAGGTACCCTTTCCCCATTTCCCTCCCTCAAACTTGCACCTTACCCCCCCACACCATCCCTTTGGCTCAGCACCCCCCTGTACCTCTGACCCACTCCCCCCAGGGGATGGACAATGAAGCAGGTGGAAGGGAGAGGGGATGGGAAGGAGAGACCCCCAGAGATATCAGTGCAGGGGGTAGAGAGGGGGGAGGCTGGCTCGAGTCCCTGGGCAGGAATCCCAAGTCATGAGGTGGGTAACCTGGCCTCCTGGCAGGGATAAAATGAAGGCCCGAGGTCCAGGCTCCTGATGAGTCCTGGGGGAGGGTGGGGGGCACCCAACTAGCTGTCCTTGAGAAGTAGCTTCTCCTCTGGGCAGCGGAAGGGGCCAGGGGGCCCAGCGGCTGCCAGCCGGGCACAAGCTTCAGGTGAGAGCTGGCGGCAGGAGCGCAGGTCTAGGCGGCGAAGGCGCGGGCAGCGGCGGAACAGCGGGAGGCAGTGGTCCGTGAGGCGGTGGCAACCTGGGCGGGGGGCAGTGGCGGCGGAGACCACGAAGGTGAGTAGGGGGTGGGCACTGGCCACGGGGACCAACACGCTAGCAGGATGGACAGAGAGGATGCTTACCAGCAAGATTGAGGTGCACCAAGGTCTCGCGGAGTGGGGAGGTGGGGGCTGTAAGGAGGTGGACGCTGGGGTCCCCGACGTGGGCGCAGTGGCTCAGGTCCAGCGCACTCAGCTGGGGTGCGTGGCGCAGCAGGAGCCGCAGGGAGGCATCTGTCAGCTCCAGGCCTGCCAGGCGCAGCTCTGCTACCCCCTGCAGCCGCCCACGGCTCTCCGTTTGCCCTGGGCAGGCAGTTAAGAGGTCAGCACCCCCGGCTACTCCTGTGCCTGCCCCTCAGCATCCAGACCAGCCGTCTCTCCACACTCCTATCGCTCGCCACCCCCTAAACCTGCTTCCACAATAACAGAGCCTCCACCTGCGTTCTCTACAGGGCTTGCTCTTCTCCCAAACACCCGTACAACCTGACCTCATCTAATCTGTCCATTGCTCACATCACCTCCTCGGTGAGACCCTCCATGATTACTCCTTTTGATATGGTAACATTCCACATACTCCTACCCCTTCCCTGCCATTATTGTCCCCCCCTCCTTTTCTCACCATGGAACCTATTTTTTTCTCTCCTCCCACTAGAATGTAAGTTCCACAAAGGCAAGAATTTTTGTCTTGTTCTTGCTCTATCCCTAGCAATTGAGACATAGGTGCTCAGTATATATTCACTCATCCGACAAATGCCATCCCTAATGGAACTGCCACCCCAGGCCCCCCTCCTACTTCCCTCTCCTTCCATTAGTAACATCACCAGCTGAATCCCTTTCTCTCCATTCCCTGGGCGCCCCTCAGGGACAACACCACTCTTGCCTCAACTCCTGCCCCAGCCTCCTCACCCGGTCCAGTCTCTCCTCTCCTTCCTGGCATTCAAAGAGAGCTGTGCTCACAAACAAGTGGGGCAGGGGGCGCCTGGGTGGCTCAGTCGGTTAAGCATCTGCCTTCGGCTTTGGTCATGATCCTGGGGTCCTGGGATCAAGCCCCGTGTCCGGCTCCCAGTTCATCAGGGAGCCTGTTTCTCCCTCTCCTCCCCACTGTGCTCTCTCTCGCTATCTCTGTCTCTTTCAAATAAATAAAATTTTTTTTAAAAAGTGAGGCACCATCCCTCCTCTACTAAAAACTCTGAGGGCACCTCCTTGTTTAGAACATTCCAGTTCCTATAAAGGTTCATCCCTGTCTCTGTTCCTAACCCCCCTCCCACACTCCCAAACACCTGGGCCAAATTCCACAGGTGACCCTGCTCTGAGACTCTGCCCACGGACACCTAATGTTCAATCCTATGCCTGGCTGGTGTCCCTGGCTTTTAGATCTGAGGTTAGAGACCACTTCTTCCCTCATCTCCACGGAAGAAGAACTCATGTCCCTCATCTCTACACCCAAAGCATGTGGCATGTAGCCTGCTTTTCTTTTATTGTATCTACCACATTCCTGCATTTTGGGTTTTGAGAGGAGAGGGGAGGGGCAGAGGGAGAGACAGAATCTTAAGCAGGCTCCATGCCCAGCATGGAGCCCAACGGGTGGCTCCATCTGTCGACCCTGAGATCATGACCTGAGCGGAAATCAAGAGTCAGATGCTTAACCCACAGCCACACAGGCGCCTATGTTTTTTTGTTTTTTAAACTAAGCGCCTAAACACCAGCCACCATTAATTGAGCACTCAGTGTGGGCCAGGCACCAGCCAAGGGGGCCAAGTGGCGGCCTGCCCCTAGGCCAGGGGCTCTTCTGCGTCCCCTGGAGGGCTGCCTAAAATGGTTGCTGGACCCACCCAGAGGTTAGGGAATCTAAGGTTGGGCCTCAGAGCTTATTTTTCTAACAAGCTCTCCAGTAATGGTGATGCTGCTGGTCTGGACCACGCTCTAAAAACCACAGCTATGTGATTATCACTCCTGCTTACAAATGACAACTTTGAGGCTCAAGTCATTAAAGCAATCTGTCCGAGGTCACATGACTGAAATAACAGAGGACGCCAGACCAAACATACCACAACACTATCTGCCTCCCAGGCACCAGCCTAGCCCATAGATAAACCAGATCAGATATCACCAACTCATGAAACTAGCCTACACAAATGCGTTATGGAATCTGCACAGTGCTGAAATTTTTCTCAAATGACGAATGCTACAAAAGGGGCATTTCCATAAAGAAATTTAGATAGAGCTTTTCTCTGAAAAATTATAAGATCTGGCACCACTGGGCTATCCCTTTCACCTGAAAAGGACTAGCTGGGAACTGGGTTGCAAGATGCTATTCCCTAAAGCCATTCCCCAAGCGCATCCCCTCTGTCACCTGCCAGGCCATCTTTGTGGGCACTTGACTTGGCAAACTCTGAATTCTGCCTCGTTTTTTCCTTTGAGGAGCTGAGAGCCTGGGAAGGGGCTACATCTACAGATGCCCTCAATCGTGGGCCACAGCTAAAAGTCATTAGAGGGAAGCAGAGGACAGACAGGTCACTTCTGCTTGGGCAGGGGAAGTGGGCATCTGCAAGGATTTCACTGAGGTGGCAGCATTTAAGCTGGGCTTTCAAGGATTTGAATGTGAGAAGTGGGACGAGAGCAAGCCAGGCAGAGAACAGCAGGGACAAAAATAAGGAAATAGAAGAACTTTAAGTTTTGCTCAAGGAATGCTGCCCAGAGCCAGGGAGCCAAGATAAGAAAAGTGGGTGTAGAGTCCCAACACTACAATAGGTCTCAGGGCCTGGAAGGCTCATCTCTGCAAGCTCCTGAGGTAGTTCAGGCAGGAGGAACTGGTATCACGGTGCCCGCCAACCAGCACTTTCTCACCTTCTGGAATCCACGGTTCCCAGTGCCCACCCTCACCCTCACCCAAATCTTCCTGGCTCAGTCCGATTCTGGTAAGAGTGGGCAACCGGGAGTGCTCCGGTCTAGCTCTGTGTGACTTGCAGCAGTCAGTCAACCCCTCTGAGCCTCTGGTGCCTTGTCCAGATAGTAAGAAGAATCCTAGATGCTTCTCTACCTCCTTCCAAGGCTGCTGTGAAGGGGGCGGTGGAGTGGGAAGAAGGGAACTGAAAAGTGAGCTGTGAAAGCAAGGCTCTGGGGTGAGCACAGCCCCTGCCCTCCCAAAGCTTAGAACTCAGGGAGAGGAAATGGGTGTTCATCAAATCACTTCACCACCATGCAGTGATAGCTGGGAGGGAACCGCTCTCAAGCTCTAAAGGAACCCTGATCTCGGGGGGGGGCGGATTATGGAGGGCTTCTAGGAGGAAGTGGCATTTTTGCTGAGGCCTGAAGAATGATTAGGTGTTAATTACACAAAGGGGGGTACAGCATTCTAGACAAAGAGGACTAAGCATTAGGCCTGAGGGCTGGAGGCACCTTGGCAAGGAGGCTGAAGAGGCTGAAATGTGGGGATGGCACAGGTCAGTGGGAGCCAGACCACACCAGGCCTTAGTGACAATGTATTAGTCTTTATCCAAAGAGCACTGGGAGATTATGAGGAGGAGTTTAGAGCACAGGGCTGACACGGACAGATCTGCCCTTCTGGATGGTTCCCCTGGCAAGAGAAGCTATTGTGAGCATCCCATCTCCTGGCTAGACAAGGAAGGAACCCCCAGGCCTCAGTGCTCCTAACCCATACCTCCGTTGTGACCAGCCTCTGCTCCCAGCATTCCCCTCTACCAGTATGGGCCTCACTGCCTACGAAAGTGCTTACTCCTGCCTCACACTCCCTGGGACAACCCTGTCCCTTTCAGGACTCAGTTCAAACAGCACTTCCTCAAGGAGGGATTCTCTCTCTGCTCCCCATGCCCAACCACATCCTCCACTGTACCACCCCGTAACCTTCTGTTTCTGATTCTCTCTCTTCTGCACTACTGGGATTCTACCAGGGTAGGGACTGGGGCTGTTTGAGGTCTCCAGGGCCCTATATAGGGCCAAGGCCGGAGTATGTGTCCAACAGTAAAAGCTGTCTTTACCTGACAGGGTACCCGGGCCTGACCCAGGGTGAAGAGATAGCAGGCCTGACAGGAGAAGATACCACCACTCTGATGCAACCTTCCAAGTCAACTGGATCCCTCTTTCTGCTCCACTCCCTCAGGAAAACCCTTATCCTTTTCCCGTAGGGCAAAGGGGCACAGGAGCCAAATCTATTGCTCAGCCATATACGTACTGATCCACACATGAATTTTAAAAGAATGTTAAGTTAACTGCTGTCATTTAAAATCAAGGATATTTCACAGGAAAATCCACGTGTCTGGCTCCTCTTGACGAATGGAAGTGACTGGCCATCCTGGGCCTGCATTTTCCATGGCCATTGCCGCTGCCCCCTCTGGAGGAGGCTCTTCAGGAGCGCCCACCACACCCAGTGAGTTCACTCCTATCTGCCATCGGCCAGGCCACTGGCTTCTTCCAGAATTCTTATGCCATCTTCCTGTCCTATACCGTGTTTCATCACATAATCATCTCCCCTCTGGAGCGCAGGGGCCACTTCCCCTTCATCTCTGTTCCCTCACAGCTCCTATCACAGGGCCCAATGCATAGCAGGGAAGTAAACGAATGAACAGTGGCCAAGCAAGGCCTCCTAACCAAATTCATGCGTTCTGCCCTTTCTTCAAATCTCTTAACATCCAGCATGAGCCGGAAGAGACCTTGGAGGCCTCATACCCGCCCCCTTCCCCTGCCCAACCCATTCTACAGATGAGCCAACAGACGCCACACCTGGTTTGGTGTCTGGTGGAGGCAACAGCAGCTCGCGGAGCTGGGAGTCTTTAACATCCTCAATCCAGCGGAGGTCCAGGAGCCGCAGGGCCGGCAGTGGGGCTGAGCCCAGGGCAGAGACAGAGAGCCAGGAGCAGCCAGAGAGCACCAGCTCCTGCAGGCCTGGGCAGGGGAGGTCAGGAAGTTGGTGCTCCATCCCAGCACTGTCTCCCTCTTCACCCTGTCCTACCTCGCCATCCCACCCTACCTTGCAGACGGTTCAGAAGCCACATGAGCTGCTTCTTGGAGACACCTGTCCAGCTGAGGTCCAGGGCTCGGGGCTGGCGACGAACCACACCACTGAGCATGGGTGGGGTCAGTGACTTTCGCCGGCTCAGGTCCATTCGAGGCCACAGACGCTTGTCATAGCACCTATCAGCCACAAGAGGGAGACAGAGCCCTCAGCTCTTAGGGAGCCTGCAAAACTCCCTACTTCAAGGGTTCATTGGCCACAGCTCTGTTCTGGCCCACAAAGACAGCAGGGGTGGCAGGAAGTACCCAGCCTCGGGCCAAGGGCACTGGGTTTGGGGCTCAGTTTCATCACTAACTGGATGCGAGACCCCAGGCAGGCCCATTCCTCTCCCTGAGCCTCAGACGCTCCACTTGTAAAATGAAGATAATGATCCAGACTCAGACTGCCCCATAGGGCTACTGTGAGATCAAATGAGGTCACTGCAGTTCGTAGACCTTACAGCTTATAAAGCATTCTGCCAAAGACACAAACACCCTACACATTGTATTTGACGTAACACCGAAAGGATCTGTCAGCAGCCCCCACCAGCCCCACCTTGTGCTTCTGGAGTTCTCCCTGGCTAAGTTATGGTGACTCGTGGGAACTTCTCATCTCCTCTATTCATCTCTGCCTTTGAGCCACATCTGGCCCATTCTGATGGCCAGCTGCCCAAGGCTCGACTTCCAGCCCTGTTACCTCCTGTCTCGGGTTACTGTGTCCCTCCAACTAGAATGTAGGCCCTACCAGGGCAGGACAGCTTTTCCCCTTTGGTAGTGCCAGTACCTGGCACTGTGCCCGGGGTTATCTGTTGCACATTTGTTGCATGAATGAATGGTGCGAAGCCGGCATGAAGTCCCTGAAGCTTCCACTGAGCGCTCCCCAACAACACACATCATCTGCAGCTTTTCATTTATCCACTCAATGTTTACGGAAGGCATGGTAGGGCCCAGGAATCAAAGTTCCAAAGATGAATGAGGCCTACACAAAGTTAAACAGCTTTCCTGATCCCTGAGAGCCCTGACAGATCTGACAAGCAGTGAACCAGAGAAGGGCCTCCCAAACTTAACTTTACCAAGGAACCCTTCCCCACCTCTCCCAAGGTCATCTGTGAACACTTTGTGGCACACTAGAGTTCATCAAGACTTAGTCTGAAAACTCTCTTCCAGTTCTCAAAAGCATGTCAGGAAATTCCCACTGGGCTAGACGGACTGTGTCAGAAGCAGCAGGGGTGGGGAAGGCCCAGGAAGCTGTGTGTGACCTCCCTCCCACCCTCCATTCTGAGGGCTTTCCCTTCGAGAAGCCCTGGGCTGGAGCAGTGGTTACCAACTCCAGTTAGTTGCTATCCCCTTCTCTCAGAATGTGAATTTATCTTTCAATCGATCCCCTCCTTGCACTTAAAACCAGTATTGCTTCACATAAAAATGTTAACCTTGGAAATACGTACAATAAAAACCGACCGGGATTATTAGGCTTTACGCTACCACCTGAAGACTATTTTTGTTAAACAGGGAGATAAGTATTAGAGAGGTGTTAAAGATACAATAGCACCCAATCGAGAGACTTCCTTTTCAAAACTAATAGAAGGATTAAGCCATGGTTTTGTGCCACTTGAAACTGCCAGGCGTTCTCCACAGAGCCCCATCTGACATTTTAGGGAATTACTGGGGGCACAGACACTAAGGCTTTAATCCAAACAACCCCACTTCTTGGTCCCGCCTGCCGCCCCTTCCCCCTTTCCTCCTTTTCCCCCCTTTCCTCCTTTTCCCCCCTTTCCTGGTATTATAGCCTCTCCCTCTCCTGGTTCCTTCCACTCAACCAATAACCACTTGCAAGTCTCTCCCATTACAAAACAGAAAAGGAAAAAACCCAGCCTACCCTCAGCCGAGCTTCTGCCCCTTTTCTCATTCCCCTCGGTGAAATCCTGCCCACTCCAACCCAGGCTTCAGTCTCAGCTCAACTGCCACGACCACCCTGAAGCCCTTGGGTCTTCCATGGCTAGAAAGGAACCCTTCCCCCCTGGGGGCACACACAGGCCCCCAACTGCTTCTGTATCATACTCCACAACAGCCACACCCAACCACCTGCCCGCCGATAGACACACAATGCTGCCTGGTGCCAACATATATTGGTACATGTTGTGCTGCTGCCCGAAACGCCAACCAACCCAGAGCTTTGAACACTCAGTCCCAGTGTCTCCTCTTCCGGGAAGTCTCCCATGACTTTTCTTGGCTTGAACTAATTGGTCCCTTTGCCCTTGAATGACCAGGACACTGGGTTTAAACCTCAGAGTGGCAGCCAATAATCACTCAGGGCCCTACAGATCCTAAGTGTCCAGCCTCCACTGCACTGTCAGGAAAGTGGAGGAAACACAGCCAGTCCACGGTAACTGAAGCAGCAAGGGATATAGTCAGAATCAACAAGGGGACTGGACAGGGCGCCTCCCAGGGAGACAGTGAGAAGAGGGAAGAGAATGTATGTTCCAGATGGGGAAGAACCAGTGTCCAGGCCTAGGATACAGAGAGAAAACGGAGTGCTCTGAGAAACTCAGGCAGCAGGAACAAAGGGCAATCCACACCTCACCTTAATAATGAGGGTTAATAATAATAAAGATGGGGAGGACTACGGCATTAATACCTAGTGTTCATCAAGGGTTTACTATGGGCCAGGTACTGGTCTGTGCATTAGGCAGGTAACCTCACAACAGCCCTAGGAGGTAAATACTGTTACTATAACCTCCTTTTTATTTATTTATTTATTTTTTTAAAGAATTTTTTTTTTTTATTTATTCATTTGAGACAGAGAGATACAGAGAGAGCGAGAGAGAGAGAGTAGGAGCAGTGGGGAGAGGCAGAAGGAGAGGGAGACGCAGACTCCCCGCTGAGCAGGGAGCCTGATGCGGGGCTCGATCCCAGGACCTTGAGATCATGACCTGAGCCGAAGGCAGACGCTTAACAACTGAGCCACCCAGGCGCCCCTATAACCTCCTTTTTAGAGTTAAGGAAAATGAGGTCCAGAGAGGTTGGGAAACTTGTTCGAGGTCCCACAGCTACTAAGTGGCAGCAGAACCAGGTTTTAACCCAAGCTGGTCTGGATTGAGCGCCTGAGTTGTGTCTGAGGAAGGGGCAAGGGGGAGACTGCAGAGGAGACTGGGGTGGCACGCCGTGGCAAGGAGGCCGCAATGCCCAGTGGGACCGTCATTTAGTGCAGGCACTGAGATACTATACGTGTGCAAATGTCCAACAGGGCTGTGAGAGTTCACTGTGAGGGCAGCAGGGAACCATGCATGGGTCCTTTCTAAGCTGCGGAATGACACTAAGGTGAGGGGCAGGAAGAACTGCTAAGAGGCACGGCCTGCCCTCATCCGGGGGCATCAGGGCTTGATGTCCGAGTTCCCTAACCCAGTTCATTTTACCCTAGCTTCCAGCCACCCCGACCCAGTCAGCCCCCTATTAAGCCCACCTCCCAAATCCGAAATTCTAGTCCTAAGCCTCTGTCTTGCAGAGGCCCTTTGGGGATGCGGATGTACCAGCCCAACTGGTGCCGGGCAGGAGCTCACAGCCTGGTTCTTTCCTCTCAGCTCGCTGGGCTCCCCGATGCCACCACTGTCCTCCTATCCACCAGTCTCCAGGCTTTTATTCCCAGCCCCAACTGGCCTTGACCTTGGGGTCCAGTCCCTTCCTTGCCACCCTCTGCCCATGTCCCCCAAAGTTCCAACCCTCTTTTCTGTGCCTCAACAACTCTACCATGCTTCCTCTGCCTGCCCCCCTCCCCTCGCTCTTGGTACATTCACTTTGCCTCCCAGTTCCAAGAGGAGATAAAAGCCACCAGACAGGAAAGCCTGCAACTCCCTGCTCTCCCACCTACAAATTTCTCTCTGGCTCCACCCTCACTGCCTCTTCCCTCACACCATCCTGGTTTCCTCACTTCCATCCATCCATCCATCCATCCATCCATCCATCCATCCAGTATTATCTTAGAACCTACTGGATGCCGGGCGCCATCTTAGAAACTAGGGACACCACAACGAACAGATCAAGTGTCTGCCTTGGAGCTGATGTTCTCAACCCCATGTGACCTGGCTTTGGTGCCCTACTCCCACGTAGTACAGCCAAGGACACCAGGGCCTCATGTAGCAAATCCAATTTTAGTATATGTGCTGCCGAAGCGAGCACATCATGTAGCAAATCCAACTGCCGCTTGTGGTCCTTGGTCTCCCACGACCTCTTGCCAACATCCTACACTCTTATCATTCACTCCTTCCTCAATCTCTCTCCTGCAGGACACTTCCACCATCTCCTTCATGTCTCTGGTTGGTCTTTCTCTAACTCACAGATACTGACATTCTGTCTTCTCTCCTCTTTCTGGAAGCTGCTACCTGCAGGGGAAAAACTTCCAAACCTGGATCCTTCCAGCTTCAGACCTGTACATGCATCTGCCGTCCTGCCAGCTCCTGACTGGCCCACAGGCCTTTCGGACCAAACGTGTCAAATCTGAGCACTTCGCGTTCCCGGAACCTGCTCCTCCTCTGGTATTCCCGAGCTTGGGGAATAGCGCTGCTGCCCACCCAGGCTTGTGGGCCAGAAACTCAGCTGAAGAGTTGTCACCCTGCTGCCCAGGTACCAAACACAAGCCATTCTGCTTCTTAAAAAATTCTCAGCCCCAGTCCCTCCTCTCTACCCCTCCAGCCCCTACTTCTGTGCCTAGACCTGACAGAGCCTCCTGACTGGTCCCACTGTACCTCTGCTCCGCCCTACCCTCGTCCTTACCAAAAACGACCATTTTATTGAGTGTTTAGTACCTTTCAGGTATTGCGATAAGTGCTTTGCAAGAACCACTTCATTTAATCCCCACAGGGTATTAGTATGAACCCCAGACTACAGATGAGAAAACAAGCCTTGGAAAGTAGAGCTATCCATCCACGGCTATACATTCAAGCAGGACAGGAGTCACAGTGGATGACACCCATGGGTGCCAGACTCCAGGGCCCAAGGTGGAAATCACTGTGCCGTCCAGCCTCTCTGCTTTGTCCACTTCCGGTCACAAGTCTCTCCTTGAGGTAGAAATTAAGGCCTCTTCAGTCCTGGATCCCCCGTGCCAAGCACAGAGCTGGCCTTGAAGAGGCCCCAGCAACATATCCCCGAACACTACATGTGCAGGGATGGTGATCCCCAGCAACCTCTCTCTTTGCTCCTGTGCTGAAGGCTGACTGGGAGCTCCTCAAGGGCCCAGGCCTGCACTCTCAAGATAGAAAGTCTGTGCTTTCAGTCAGTATTTGTAACTGAATAAATAATACAGGTTACAGTTAGGGCACTGAGTAGTTTCTACTTCCTGGGTACTGTCCTCGGTTCTTTATGTACATTAGCTCATAAAGACACTATGACATTGGGGAGATTATGTGCTATGGTGAGCGCTGTGAATTGTGTAAGACTGTTGAATCACAGACCTGTACCTCTGAAATA